TGGTCTTGTGCTGGTTTCCCATCTTCCTTGGAGGTTCAATATGCAGGCCAGAGCCGCTCGTGATTCTTGTAAAGACCCGCACCGGAGAACCCCACCTCTGGGACAGGCAAAATAACCAGTGGCAGGGGTAGGAGGAAGAATTCGGCACGCGGGGTGAGAGCTGATTCAACACAATACATGAGCTTGTAAAAATCCTAATGATGTGAACTAGGGCCTGAGCCCTGCCCAGCTGAATTTCAATAGTACTGCCATTTACGTATCACATAAAAAAGTAGTTTTTCCTCGGGCTATTTATTTTCCCTGCCCTGCCACCGGAGCCACCTGCCACCTGTGCCCACCATCAGAGACACTTGGCCCTATCAGAGACACTTGTGCCCTCCGATTCTTGTCCTCCCTTGGCCCACAGGAGAGATCTGCCCCATCTCGCCCCAGGCACTAATCCCAATCTCAGGCACACCCTCCCCCGCAAAAAAAAAAAGTCTCATCCCAGAGCTCCCCGGGACGGGGGTTAGAGACTCACCCAGATTCACGAAGCTCATAACCATGTCTGCCTCGGTGAGGAAGTTGCTGTCCTGTAGGCTGGCCAGGGGTGGCCCTTGGGTGCTGAAGATGGGCTTGTAAGGGTAGGAGAATCCCTCTCCCTCCTCCCCTGCGGCTCCTGCCGTCTCCTCCTCCACCGACATGGCATTGTAGAGATCCAGCATGAACATGGGGGCAGAGTTCTGCTTGCCGTGCAGATGGGGCCGGGGCCGGTGGGGCAAACCCAGGATGGAGAGGATCTCCCGCTGAATCTCCCGGCGCTCCTGGCTTCGCAGCCTCCTGTGGATGAAACTCGAGTGCACCTCATTGTCCAAGGTGAAATCAGCCAGGATGCAGAAGGGAGCAGCAGCCCACAGGACCAGCAGCCAGGAGGCAGGCTGCCTGAGCCACACCACATGCATCTCTCTCCTCTCCTCCTTCACGCAGCTCCCTGTGGAGGGGAGATAAAGAGATCCAGTGGGCTGGGGAGCAGGAATAAATACTTTACCATTAAAGACAGCTGGTGCCTGCCCCTCAAAGTTCTGATCACTTGGGTAGACAGGGGAGATCCAGCTTCAGCGCTCTCATGATCAAAGTCTGGCTCTGGGGGAGGTTGTGTAGTTTGTAAAATCCATATGATAGGAAAGAGATAAATGGAAAAGATAAATCCTGAGTGTTACTTTCCACCCTCTTCCTTTAGGGTCTGATCTCTTTCTCTTCACTTCTCACAGGCTAAGTCTAAGTACGTTTGAAATGCTGCTTTGCAGACAGCACAGGCAGCAGGAGGTTGTATCTTGTGGGAGGAGCAGGCAGCAAAACTCAACACACACTCTCTCTCTCTCCCCCTGTCCCTCCCTCTCTCTCCAAACTGCTTAGAAAAGAAAATCCATGTTACTGCCTAGAGCAGAAACATCTGATCAGGTTGCTTTTCAGGATGTTTATGGAAGCTGCTGGATTAGAAGAAAGGGTGAGCCATTTCTAAGTAGTTAAATTAATGTAAGCATGATTAAAGAGAAAGCACCCAAGGGGGAAGGGGTGGTTTATGTACGGGGGGGGATACTTTGAGAGAATTTGTATATATATAATAACACTGTCCAGAAGGGGGAAAACAATAAATGCATACATTTAAAATTTAATGATGTAAATATAATAGGCAGAGAGACCAGGGTCAATTTTTCCACAGGTAGATGGGGAGCTGGGGGGGGGGTTAGTAAGGAAGTGTCAAGGAAGACTGGGGGACTATGGGATGATAGAGAAACTTTAAAATACTAACAATTAATAATATTTAAAAGATTTTGAACCATCAGCTTCTGCACGTTGCTAGGTTATGTCACTATATTATCTTACTACTCTCCCATCACCTCTTCCCATTCTACTGTCTGTGACACTCACTTGTTGAATTTTGGCTTGAACTGGATTATCAAGTGTTAAAAGCAGGGAGTCGCAACTGTCTTTTACTACCTGTCTGTACAGCCTCTAGCACATTGGGGCCCAAGATTGGGCCCTTTGGGATCTACTGTGATATAAAAAAAATTAATAAGAGTTAGTCACCAACTTTAACTACTGTTTCCCAACAGTTACTTGAAAAGAGAGGAGTGAAAATAATTCACAGTATATGCTGACTTTCAAATTCAGTCTTGGGAAGGAAGGGGGAATGAAGAAAGTGGGTCAGTCACACTAATTTTGACAGCATATGGCTTTGATGTTTCCTGATGATTCTACCATACTCGAAAGTCTCAATACTTGATCCTGAACACCTTCTTCACCTACAAACACTTCTATAGGTCTGTGTATTTAAAGCATCATATAAGCAGTAACTAGCGATTTTTCATAAGAGGCCTATGAAAAGGGGATAGCCTGAATTGAAGAGGAAACTTAAGGCATATAATTGAAGTAAATCACCCTAAGGCCACCTAGTGAGTAAGTGATAGAGCCAGAATTAAGATTCCTAGCTCCCAGCCCTGTGCTCCTTCCTCTGGACCATATTGCTTCTCAAAGCTCCTAAATCAATGAGAGTTTTGGGTCCCCAATGGAGGCAACAAGAATGAGCTCTCAAAATCTTTTATACTCCCTGAGAAGCACTACCAACCAGCTGTCAAGCAGTGGGAAGGAGTAGGTAATTTACATCAAGTTTGTCTCTTGCTTCTGATCTTCCAGAGTCCCTTCACTTTGGCTTAGCTCTGTGATTTCAACTGCCTGCAATACTATACACAATTTTATTTTGTGTAACAACTTTTATACAAATCTTGGGCTTGATCCCAAGAAGTGCTGAGTACCTACAACACCTCTGAGAATCAGGCCCTTTCTGTGTGAAAATGCTTGCCAAGTGTATAACTGAAATAGATTTGACAAAGTGTTTTTTGTTTTTTTTATTTGTTTCCTATGTGCATTTGACGGCACCATGTCACTTCCACTGTCTTATATAGCCAGTTGGTTCCCATCTTGTTTGTGTGTGGATCTTTCACTCAGCAACAGGGGGAAGAAAAACATCTTAAAAATAGGAAAACATGATAGTCAAACCATCAAAATTGTCAAAGGGGACTCAAGAATGGGTGTAGTATCTAAAACTACTTGTAGCTCACTTTTTGAAACTGACTACTTTTCAAGTTGACAGTGTCCCTTTAACTTTTCCTTTTTGGGGAAGGAAAGAAAAGTAGTTGTATATTGGGAGTTGGAAGGTGTTTTGCCAGGAAACTGGTTGCTGAGACTTAGTTTATCATTTTTATGGAAGATGAATTTAAAACATGGTGAGTTTTTAGGGTTGCCTAAGAGGTCATTTATTTCTCTTTGTTTTTCCTATATATTCAGCTGTTTAGGTTCCCTATTTTTGACTAAGCAAGTGTATCAGTTTAATATTGGATATGTCCTTTCTTGAGGAGTGGGGAACATTGGGAGTATATGCTGCTACACTTGCATGGGAACAAATCAGATGATTTAATGAGTTTATTAATTAAATTATATAATTGTATTGCTTTCTTCTATGGTCCTATTCTTCATTTCCTGTCTAAATTGCAAAGCAAGGTACATGGTATAGCAGAGATTAAGAATGAAGTAGTGAGATGACGTTGTGGACAAGCAATTGGGCTTTTATGAGAGGGGATTATTATAAGAATCAGTGAACCAAACTCTTTCTTTGAAGCAGCTGTGGGTAGTGCCTCCACACTCTACCCTCTCCCCCGCACACCCTCCCAAAATGTCTGATTTGTGATTGTAAACTAGTAAGTACAATACAATAGATGTATGACAGATATATTTAATAGTCCACATGCCACTGCTTCTTTACCTGTAGCACATGATGCTAGGGGGATTCTTTATGTGTGTGGGTTAAGAAAGGGAATCTATTAGAGAATTCTTCTCACATCACATGCCTAATCCCTCATTGACATCAGTGGGGTTATGGGTTGTAAACAAGAGCAGAATTTGTCCCAGTATGTTCAATAAAGGATAATTCTGTATAGACTGAGATGGGCTCAAACGTCAATATTAGGATCCAGTTTTGGGTTCCAAACACTCACCAATCTATATAGATTATAGTCTGTACCATCATTATTATGGATTCCATCTTTTTCCCCCATCATACATTGCATACTGTTTAAACTCATTTCATCTGCTCCCTGCAAGCTAGCTCCCAAGCTCTGTAGGCATATTGCTGGAAATATTGGCAGTCCATATCATCATCCTCTTTCTCCTCCTTCTTCCCAGGTCAATTAAGAAACCAGTTTTTCCTCTTACGGCTCTCTTCTCCCTTTCTCCTCCTCCTCCTCCTCCTTAGAGAGGGAGAGCTGAATGCTCATGATGAAGCAATACCTGCATGTTGGCAGTTGTTGTTTCAGATCATTTCTTTAGATAAAAAAATTCCAACCGATTGCCTCTTTCTTGAGGGTTACATATGTTACCAGATTAGCTACTTTTTGGTCTCATCATGAATTGAATGTTTTTATCTGTTTTGTGTATTAGCTACTGCTCTTTTTGTTTGTGCGGGCAACTGCACACTCTTGATGGGTGGAAGAGACAACTTTAGAAATAAAGGGCCCTATTTTAAAAAAAATTAAGCACCCAAAATGCACGTGCAATTGCATGTGCCTAGTTTGCATGCACTATTCAGGGCCGGCTCTAGGCACCAGCAAACCAAGCACGTGCTTGGGGTGGCACATTTTCAGGGGCGGCATTCCAGACAGCCTTTTTTTTTTTTCCCCTTCTTTGTGCTTGAGGTGGCAAAAGCCTAGAGCCGGCCTTGACAGCAGCAGCGCATCCTGCACGGGGGGTGCCCTGGAGCCGCTGTGGTTCACGTCGGGGAGCAGCACCCGCACCTTATCGCCGGGCGGGCTCAGAGCGTGGGACACTCAGGCTGGGGGGCCACCCCGCGGGGCGACACAGAGCTGCCTGCGGGTGCCGCAGGGTGGCCGCCCCCAGCGCCGCAGCCGGGGCTGGGCAAAGCAGCCTGAGCCACCCAGGGACTGCGGCAGGGCGGCCAGGAGCAGCAGCAGCAGCGGGGCCATAGTGGGGACCGGTGCCTGGGGCGCTGCCATGCGGAATCTACGTCCTGCTCTCCGGGGCTCCGCTCCCTCTGGGGCTGCCCTGCCCCAGCTCCTCAGCCCTCTGCCAGGCAGTCCCCCGGCTCTGCCCTCTGCCCTCCCAGGTCCTGGGAGTCCTGCTGCTTACCCCAACCGTGCCAGCGCCAGACCGGCTGGAGGTGAGGGGGGACCAGCTGCAGGTGAGGGGGGAGCGGGTGGAGTCAGCACTGGTGGGGGGAAGCCCATGGCTGGGGCATCAGGGAGTGTGGCTGGGGTTGGGGGGAGAAGCCCAGGGTTGGGGCGGCAGGGGGTGTGGGTGGGGCAGGGAGCCCAAGGCTGGGGTAGGGGGCAGCAAAAAATTTCTTTGCTTAGGGCGGCAAAAAACCTAGAGCCGGCCCTGGCACTATTGCCATGATCATAAATGCAAATGGGGCAAATGCCTGCCAATGGCTCATTCTGGTCATTTTCATGAAAAGTTCCCCTAAATAAAGTAACTGTACACTCAGATTAGGCAAACATTTTCACACCTAACTTGTTTAAAGATCAGGCCCAAAATATATTATTTTCCTTCCTCCTATTTTTTTAAATCAAGTTCAAGCTCTACATCCTTACAGCTCAATGCCCTCCTCCTAACCATTTCTATTTCCTACCCATTTCCCCATTCTGAAAGCTTTGCACCTTTCCATCTCTTATGCCCGGAACAAATTCCTCTTCCTAAACACTGAGCATCTTTTCTTTCTTCCTCCAAATGCTTCTACTAAAATAAATGTCTTTTGGGAATCTTGGCTGATAGTATCAGCAGGATACTCTGTACATCCTCTGTTTCCCTTTCCTGGTCCCTCCATACATGTGATTCAGATTCTAACAATAAAAAAAACAGTATTGTTTTTATAAGATTACATAAACATCTTGAATACTGCATTACGCCACATTGGATTATACTTATCAAAGTTTCTATTCATTCCCCTTAACACCATTATCGCAAATGTATTCCTCAACATGAAAGTAATCACATTATGGATAAGCCACACGTTAGCACTGTTCTAAGAATTTGAACTAATCTGGTTCTGGACTGAGCTAATCACGTTATATTAATTAAGCCATAGTTCTCGTTGCCCTGAGCTCTACTGATCAGAGAAGATACAGTGATGGAAGCGGTGCACACAGGTTTGAAGGGGACTGTTACTCCTGTGGGAAAGCCTTGTAATAATTTTTAAAAAGAAATAATTTTGGAACAGTAGGGACCTTTGAATTCTAAAATTTAAATGGTATCATGGGACTGAATCCTGAGAAG